AAAAAAAAAAAAAAAAAAAAAAAGGAAAAAAGAAAAAAAACAAAAGGGGGGATGGGTTCTTGATACACATTCAATTGTTAGTGTTGCTAATGTCATATAAGAGGGTACAGAGAGCTATGGCCAAGAAGCTGTCAGTTACAGAGGTGTGCTCTGGCAGCACAGCTGTCTTGTGCACTGAGATTATCGCTGTCCTCTTAAAGTATTCTGTGTTCTTCATTCTGGTCATTGCACAGTGAGCAAACACAATCTAAGATTTCCAAAAGGGAGAAAAAATGTGTCTCCCCCCACCTCCCCAATTGGTTTTGTGTTTTTAACAATGGGGAGAAGAACCCTTAGCATGCCTGAAGACAGTTTGCTCTTAGTGTAACTCATTTACAAAATCTTACAAGAGTTAGACACAGCACCCATTTTCACCATGAAATTCATATTGAAGTTTATCAATATCAGATATTTTAAACGTAGTCCATTTACAATGTAATGTGGACTTATCAAAATTTGTTTATCTCCAAAGTGAGTATGTTTTTAAAGCTGGTTTGGCTAGATCTATCTTGCTATCTATTTCTTGCTAATTTAGTTCCAGAGTCTCAGACCAGAATCCCTAACCAAAACGAGTCATTCATAACAAAACACCCAAGAAAACCCAAAACACAGAAGGTGGTCTAAGGCCTCTAACACCACATCCAATGTCCATATACTTGACTACCTAGAAGTCTAATTCTGACCCCCCCCACCCCCATCAATAGCACCCCAGGAGCGTCCTCCCCGAGCCCTGTCCACCAGTAATGCAATTCTAACCTATCCCAATGGTCACAGGATCCTTCATAAGGAAGTTAGGGTTGAAAGAAAGCCCTAACTACAGCATGGGGTCCTGCGCATGCATCTGAACCCTGCCTGACTCCTCTACCGCCCAAAGTCCTGTACTCAGCTTCTAGAGGCCATTCTTCCCCAAGGGGAAGAGGGAGGCCTGTCCTTGGTGCTTACTGCCTCAGACCCTCTCACAAAGGTCGCTTCTCTGGGCACAGGCTGGGCTGCTCTCCAAAGCGCCTCCCTCCCAGCACTGGGCCTCGAGGCGACTGTGAGGTTCACACACCCCTCCTCCTGCCATCAGCCTCGGGCATCGCCTGTAGGGGGCGGCTCGGCATCGCCTGTAGGGGGCGGCTCGGCGCGCGCAACCGAGCAACCCTCTGGCCTAAGCTGCCCAGCTGCGCTCCGGAAGCTACGTGGCTCTCCACGCGGGGAAACGGAAGGCTCTGGTAAACACAGGGGCCGGGAGACGCGAGCAAAGCCCACAAACCTGTGACCGGGAGGAACGAGGGAGGCGACGTTCGCGCTGGCGGAACTCACTATCAGTCTCCAGTCCGTACAGGAAGACCTTCCCCTCGGAAACTAAGATCGCCACTTCCGGAAGAGCCCAGTCTCCTCCAAAATAAAGCGGGTGATGATTCTGAGTGTGCTTCTGCAGACTCCTCTCCCGTGTGAGGGCAGCATGCGGACGCGAAGGGGAGTAGTCTTGTAGGAACCTACCTGTAGAAGGGTCCAAGCCATGGGTGGAGGCTGGAAATTGATGTCAAGTTTTGAATCTACTAAAGGTTTATGTTGTGGCTTTTGAGAGATGTCCACATTTCCTGTGATAAGAGGAGTATTAACCTAATGAAGCAAGCACACCTTTCCACTACTAGAGACCCCACTATGGGGACTCTGCCTTGTGCTGTTCCGGCAGCCACGGGGAGCAAGCCTGGACCCCACAGACCTCAGCGGTTTACTTCCAAGACTTAGTTAACATAAAATACAGTCCCTTTATCTAGAGTAGTTTAGGAAGGTGATGTGTAATCCCTGAGCCTTCCAGCTAGACTAAACGTGCCATAACTTGTTTTCCATTTCCCTTGTTTGGAGTTTATCTTTATAGTTTTCTTAGCATGGAAGGTGTATAGTGATGTGTGCAATGAAGACAAGTGGAAGCGGAGGAATGCTTGGCTGCTGCTGTTACTCTTCTATTTAGGATAATGAAGAAAGGACATCAAAAGCCCAGCTTGAATCAGTGATTGGAGAAGCTCGAAAAGGAAATCCTGTGTGTATCTGGACAACAGTTTAAGAATTCCAGCACTCAGGAGGCATGAGCAGGCAGGCCTCTATGCGATTGAGTCCATCCTGGTCTAGAGAGCATGTTCAATCAGAAATACAAAAAAAATAATTCATTTAAACAAAACGTTAGATGGTGATAAAGACTTGAATAGTCCCATAGAATTAACAGCATAAACAGAAAAGGAATTGACAATTGCTGAGGAGAAATTACAGGAGACACATGTGGATAGTGTGAATCCAAATCTTAATTGTATTCTAAGTCATATTGCCTTCCAGAATTTCTCCTACAGAAATTTTAATGCAGAGGGATGATATCATCTTGGATCTTTTTTTTACCACATAAAACAAGT